CTAATTTAAATAAATAGACTAAGAATCGACTTTATAAATTAAAACCCGTCCATAAATATATTTTGGGTCTATATTCGACCTAGGTTGTCCAGATATCTATTTTATAATTATTTTCCATAATTATTCCTTTAATTTCATATATCTATTAACCGGTTCAATTACAATTAAATATACTAAACCTTATTTTTATTAATTATAAATGGTCCATAAGGTCCTAGTTAGTCATATATTTATCCTAGTTTACTCCAATATTTATTTCATAATTATTTTCGTCATTTAGTTAATTATTTGCTAAAAGTGTATAAATTGGTCCAATTACCATTAAATCAATTAAAAATAGCTAAACATATTATTTTCCAATTCTGGTTGGTCCGAATATGTATATTTATACTAGGTATTAAATTTATATTTTTCCAGATTTTGTTTATTTCATTTACTATTTTATTTTTAATTTTTATTGCAACTGGACCGAACTGGCCCAAATTAAATTATTCTGGCCCAAAAAAATTAGGCCCAAGAGGGACCCCAGCTCAGCTGGGTTGTCTTCCTCGTGACATCGCCGGAAAACGGGAAAAACAGGGGGGGGGGGGGGAGAACTCACCTTGTTTGGACGAGCGAACGGCCGAAAATGGTGGTAGCAGGGTGGCGAAGGTCAGAGGTGGTACGGCGGCGGCGGCAGCTCCTCCCTCTTCTCCGTTTTCCGTCGAGATGTTTTTCCCCGGCGAAACTCCGGCGAGACTTTTCTCCCTCGTTTCACGACCGTTTTCGACGATTCTTTTTCCGTTGGATTCATATTACGAAGGGGAAGATTTGAGAAGTATTTTCACGGCTTGGTTCTGGCTAAAACGATGGGTCGCAATTTATATATATATATATATACGTATATGTGTATGTATATTTCGTAGTTTTTTGGGATGAAGAAAACGCAGGTTCTGGCCTATTATTTATAAGGAAAGATGAGGGTTTTAGGCTGAGATGTTAGAGTTAGAGTTGAATTCGTTTGGCTTGGTCGCACTTCTCCGTTTTTATCTCCAACTCTTACGTTTTAACCTTGTACGGGACTTATCCTCCGGCCAGTTGAGGCAGTATTTGTTCAGGATTCTAAAGGTAGCCAGGTTTTCATGCTGCACACGGTTTAAGTATGGAGAAAAGAATTTTGTTGGTATATTACGTTTTGGTTGATATACGAAGTATCGTACATGGGTTTTTGTTTTATTGCATATGGTATTTTGGAGTATTTTAATTACTAATATTTTTTTTTGGTATTTTTTATACAAAGACAAAACTATAACCTTTAGTTTTTATGCCATATGAATAAGTGGTATTTGATATAAAATGTTACTTCTCTTATCGGACCACTTTTATCAGACTAAAAATGTCACAAATGTTAATTTTGTAACACCCCGGCCTCGCAGGACCCGAGGTAGCTACTCTAGACCAATAGTACTATCCTCACAAACCGCCACTAGCCTTTTCCGCGCACTTTGTCCTCACTCATGCGCGCCCTGAGAAACTTCCCAGGGGGTCACCCATCCCAAGACTACTCCCGTACAAGCACGCTTAACTTTGGAGTTCTTGGCTAATGAGCTCCCTTAAAAGGAGATGCACCTTGTTGGTATGAGTAGTACTATTAATCCGTTTAAATTAAATCTCAAGTATTACAATCACCCCCACTTAGGAACGCAACGTCCTCGTTGCGCCCATAAACCAATCTCAATCATATCCCAGAATCTTTTCCCCTGCTAAGTGCCCGCCCGATATCCAACGGATCAACACACTGTCGCAGGATTGCTCTGATACCATTTGTAACACCCCGGCCTCGCAGGACCCGAGGTAGCTACTCTAGACCAATAGTACTATCCTCACAAACCGCCACTAGCCTTTTCCGCGCATTTTGTCCTCACTCATGCGCGCCCTGAGAAACTTCCCAGGGGGTCACCCATCCCAAGACTACTCCCGTGCAAGCACGCTTAACTTTGGAGTTCTTGGCTAATGAGCTCCCTTAAAAGGAGATGCACCTTGTTGGTATGAGTAGTACTATTAATCCGTTTAAATTAAATCTCAAGTATTACAGTCCCGTTCCTTTTTGAGTTTTCCAAGCCAAAAGTTACAAGTGCATAGAGAGGAAAGAAATACAACAAACAGTTACTAAAGTCCTACGCAGGAAGCTCATTTTAATTAGGTTTTCAAGTTTTAAGATTGAGTTTTGTGACTTGACTTTTGGCAATTATGCCTTTAAACATATATTTCTTGCTTCTGTCTTATTATCTTTAATGAATATTTTGTTTCTCTTATGATTTTTACAAAGATTGTTTAATAGTTTGAAGTATTTTTGAGAAGAGTGGTTCATGTAGAAGTTTCAGTAGCAGAAGAAATCAGCAGTGAAGATTCATTCAATTCAGTCTCTTTCCAGTACTTGATAGTAAAAAATATTTCTTCACTTTTCTGCAGCTCCTCATAGTTTCCAATCTCTGAAACTACTACTGTATTGGATGCAAACTCCTTTATGTACCTTTCAACTTCTTCCTCTTTTAATTCTTTTCTCACTGATTGCGGTACCATGAGCTTCAGTATCTGCACTCTTAGTCCACTAGATGGAAAGCCCTGGTCCTTCCTCAGTATTGCATGTATCACAGCTTTCCACGTATCACTTGAATGAAGCTTCTCACAGAAAAGGTCATACAGAACTTCATCCGCCCTCATGTCAAAAGAGAGTTCAAGTGGACTTGAGTTATTGTGCTGGACGTCTCTATTTACAGCAGTTAACTGTTTTGATATTGCTGCAAACCTTCTTTCCAGAAACAAATCCCCATCCCCTGTAATGAGTGTGTTCATGTCTTTGATGATTTCCAGGAACTTGTGACTAAGAAGACTCAAAATTTTAGCATCCTTCAACCCTGTGTGGACCTGCTGCTCTGTCATCTGCCGAAAAGTAATGACATAGTATGCTAACTCCCCCAAGTTATGCAATTTTAACTTTACCCTTTCCTTACTGCCCCACATTGTCAACATGAACTCCCATAAATTTTCTAAAAGCATTTCCTTTGCTTGCCGATGCTGTTGACCTCTGACAGGAACAATTTTATCTTCTATAATATCACAGAGGTTGAAAAATCCATTTTCTTCATCAATTCTGTAACTATTCCCAAATGGACATGAGGGGAGAATCAAACCAACAATAGATGATTGGTTGTGCCTTAAATCCACATCGACGGTAAGATCAGCACCAATGAATAAGAAATCTTTATCTGTTTCCCCCGCTGAAGATCCTCCTGGAGATATGGCATGGGTGTCCGGTGTCCCCATTCATCCCATGCTGATTAATAACAATCCAAGGTGGGACCTTAACACAAACTGTTCTGCTGTTATCCATCTTTTTCCCTGAATGTATCATGTCTTTTGATCCCTGAGTAATAGTTACCCCTCCACACCAGACATCTTTTGAAAGAGAGCTGGAATCTGGATCACCGTGGTCTGCATCATTCTTCCAGTAAACAAAAAATGCACACATCTTCATAATGTTTTTCTCTCCTACCTTCTGCGTTTCCTCTATTTGTGCAGTCCATACACCAAATTCTAAAGAATTGGTTCTCACAAGGTTCTCTAATAGTCCATCTTCATGAGATATTACAGAATCATCTACTGACCACTGCATTGTGGCAGCATCATGTTTAATATCTACTTGTATTCCACTTTCTAGGATACCGATGAATGCTGCATCTCGTGCTTTGCTATTAATTTCCTTAATAGCAGCAGTATACGAAGTATCTTGAGAATCATCTACTTGTCCAGTGTCAGTATTGATTTTCTGCCAAGCAAGGTTTGTGAAAGTAGCTACAGATGTAATAGGGTCTCCAATACTAGTATGTGACTCTGTATACTCAGTACCTATAAAGTTTTGAGGAATCACTTGGTTCTCCAATTCATAACCAGCAATTTTATCAACGGCAGATTCATATTCCTTAGAAATAGAGGATTGAGTCACCATAGAAAAATTCTCCTCTCGTTTCTCGTCACCATTGGTGAAAGTTTCTTCATATGAAGGTTGTCCCTGACTCACAGACTGCTGCGGAAGTGAAACTGACTCAACTTGCGAACAGTGAAACGCGGAAATCTGAAGTGAAACATGCGAACAAGGGAGATCTGTTCGCTGCGAAGTAGGCAAAGCTGAGAACGATGAAACTTGTGATCTCGTGAACTCTGCTCGCAGCGCAGTTGGCGAACTTGTAGAAGGTGCTTGTGACTGAGACGACACCTGAAAACCGGAAGCTACTGTTCGCGACCAAGCTGAAACCGTTTGCGATGACTTCTGCGAACAGAAAGCTTCTCCTCTCGATCGCGTTGGATTTGGACGTGAAGTTTGCGAAGCTGAGGAAGACTTTGTTCGCGATTCCTTCAGCACATGCTGCCCAGGACTTTGCGTTGGATTTGGACGTGAAGTTTACTCCAACACAATCTGCCCAGGACATGCTGGAGTTCAGAGCTGTGACTGATTTCTTCAGCACATCTTCTTTCCAACATTTTTCGAACAACATTATCCCCTTCTTCTCTAATTTTTTGAACAAAGGCTCCAAGCCTCAAGCAGCGTTTAAAAAAATTGAAGTTCAAAATATTTCTGACCTCTTTATTTTTCAAAATTTAAAAACAGTTTCAACTGCTAGAAACAAAACTCAAACAATTCCAACAAGCTCGGCAATCTGGTTTATGACACTTTGTTGTGACTTGTTTTTCATATTTGATGGAGGCTTATGCCTCGCCACAATGGAAAACGCATCATCAAGGCTTAAAAGTGCTAAAAGTATGTAGTCACTTAAATAAGGGTTTATTAATGGTCAACGACAACATTTGCTTTATGGTACACCTTTTCTTTCTTTTCTGATGCGTTAGAAAAATTTGGTGTTACCTTTTCCTATTATTATTACACCTCTTTTTCGTATACAGATTGTGTAATACGTATTGACAGCTTGAGGAGCAAAGTGAACCTTAAGTCCATTATCAGCTCAATCAAAGAATAGAGAAGTACATAACAGTATGTGCTTTCTATGGGGGCACCCTGATGCTTACAATTTTTATGGGGGCACCCTGATGCTTACTATTTTTATGGGGGCACCCTGATGCTTATTATTTTTATGGGGGCACCCTGATGCTTATTATTTTTACGGGGGCACCCTGATGCTTATTATTTTTATGGGGGCATCCTGATGCTTACTATTTTTATTGGGGCACCCAGATGCTTAGAGGTTGTGATGGGGGCACCCTGATGCTTAGTTTTTGTGATGGGGGCACCCTAATGCTGTATTATGATTTTTTATATTTGTTGCTCGGGTTTTATTTAAAATTTGATTTATTACATTTTAGTTATAGTCACAAAAAATAGTCACATAATAAAACTACTAAAAACACTCGGTATAGCCCATTTGAGTTCCCATTATCAATTAAACATAAGTTTTAAAATAATAATTTGCTTAATGTGATTACATAGATACAAGAATGAGTTTTACAAATAGAAACTGGATGTATCAAAGGAAAGATGAAGGCGGGTATCTTACTAAAGTATTCATCAAAGGAGTTGATATGTTCGTTAACTTTGCAAAGAGTATGCCAGACTTCATGGATGGAAACAAAATTAGGTGTCCATGCACAAAATGTCATAATCGGCAATACCAAGAAGTTGACATCGTGAAATTGCATTTGGTGAAATACGGTTTTGTTCCAAATTATTTTTTGTGGAATAGACAAGGTGAAACATTGAGTGATAGTAGTCCAACTAGGGATCATGCTTTCGAGAATCAGAACTTTGGTTTTGAAGGTATGCCCTCATTTTCTTATCGGCAAATGGTCCTTGATGCTGCTGGTCCAGACTTTATCCCAACAAGGATTATGGATGAAGAGCCAAATGCAGAAGATAAAAAATTCTTTGACATGCTAGAAGCTACTGATAAACCATTATGGCCTGGTTGTGAAAACTTGTCACAACTATCCATTGTATCCCGTTTATTGAATATTAAGTCAGAGTTTCGTCTATCTGAGCAATGCTTTGATGCAATTTGTCAACTCTTTAAGGATGCATTACCAGAAGACAATAATATGGTTAATAGCTTTTATGATATGAAGAAGTTAGTACATGGCCTTGGACTTCCGGTGGAGAAAATTGATTGTTGCAGTTCAGGGTGTATGTTGTATTGGGGTGAAAATAAAGACTTGACTGAATGCAAAGTTTGTCAACACCCTAGATACAAGACATCTGTGGATTCAGCTAAGCAATCGTGTGTACCTTACAAGCGAATGCATTATTTGCCACTAACTCCAAGGCTAAAACGACTCTATGCTTCACAAAAGACTGCTCCTTTTATGAGATGGCATGCCGAGGAACATGGACATGGTATAGGAGAAATGTGTCATCCTTCTGATTCTGAAGTTTGGAAAGATTTTAATGTTAGTCATCCTTCTTTTGCAGCTGAAAGTCGTAATGTTAGGTTGGGTTTATGTACAGATGGGTTTCAACCCTTTGGACAATCTGGACAACAATATTCTTGTTGGCCTATCATGGTTACACCGTATAATTTGCCTCCATCAATGTGTATGAAAGATCCTTATATGTTTCTGAGTGTAATAGTTCCTGGACCCGATAATCCTAAACATAAGTTGGATGTCTTTCTTCAACCTCTAATTTCCGAACTAAAGAATTTATGGGAAGAAGGCATTCTTACATATGATGTGTCTTTGAATCAAAATTTTCAAATGAGAGCAGCTTTATTGTGGACGATAAGTGATTTTCCTGCATATTCTATGCTTTCCGGTTGGGGAACATCAGGGAGAACTGCGTGTCCTCATTGTATGGAAGATTCTCAAGCATTTTATCTTCCCAATGGAAAGAAAATGTCTTGGTTTGACAACCATAGAAAGTTCCTTCCTCTTGATCATCCATTTCGACGAAACAAAAGTAAGTTCACAAGAAATCGTGTTGAAATGAGGCCTCCTCCTCCTATTAAGAGTGGGAGACAAATTTTGCAAGAAATTGACGAATTCGGATTGTTGAATGTTGTAGAAGATGATGCTAAGGAAGTGAACAAGGAATGCAGCAGTATTTGTGGATGGAGAAAACGGAGCATCTTTTGGGATTTGCCCTATTGGAAAACTAATCTCATTCGACATAATCTTGATATCATGCATATTGAGAAAAATTTCTTTGAGAATGTGTTTAACACCGTAATGAATATAAAGGGAAAGACAAAAGATAATGCGCAAGCAAGGGAGGATATGAAACTCTTCTGTAATAGAAAGGAGTTACAAAGGAACCCCCTTACAGATAAGTACCCTAAAGCATGTTATTCATTAGACGATAATCAAAAGAAGGTCATATGCGAATGGGTAAAGAGTTTGAAGTTCCCAGATGGGTATGTTTCAAATCTTGGAAGATGTGTTGATATGAGCAAGCATAAATTGTTCGGCATGAAGAGTCATGATTGTCATGTTTTTATGCAAAGGCTAATGCCAATTGCTTTTCGAGAGATGTTGCCAGTTAAGGTATGGGAAGCACTAACTGAGCTCAGTCTTTTCTTCAAGAACTTAACTGCAACAACAATTAAAGTTGATGACATGGCTAGATTAGAAGCCGAAATTCCACTAATTCTTTGTAAGCTGGAGAGTCTACTTATGCCTGGGTTTTTTAACTCGATGGAGCATCTACCCGTGCATTTGCCTTATGAAGCTAAGATCGGTGGCCCAGCACAATACCGATGGATGTATCGTTTCGAAAGGTAAAATTTATGATGCTTGATAAAAACATTAATTCCCCATTCTGTTTTAATAGCTAAGATGTTAATTTCTTTTTAGATATCTGCATGAGTTGAAAAAGGATGTGAAAAATAAAGCTAAAGTTGAAGGATCGAAAAGGCAGCGTGGACTTCAAAAGCTAAACAAAGATATTCCAATTATCTCAGTAATATGAGAACAGGAAGGTGTGAGAGGAATTCATCAATCACTCAAGAAGTTTGGGACAGTTGGATGAGTATGTGGAGTAGTGAAGAATATCAGAAGAAATCTAACCAAAGCAAAAAAAATAGGCGTCAAGGTGAATTAGAGAAGCCTGCCCCCTCTACTCATACTAGTGGGGCCATATCTCATGCCAAAGTTGCTAGTGAAATTGTAAGTTTATTTAAACTATATATGCCTTGAGTATGCATTTTAATAGAATATGTGATTTGAATATATTTTATTCATTCAACATGTCCAATATTGTGATGCATATGATATTTATTGTTTGATTATTCTAACATTGTACGTTAATAATTATTATTATGTAGGAAAAGAACTCCCAAACTACAGTGACAAGTTATCAGGTTTTTGTGTATACACATACAAAGAATCACGATGGAGAGACTTTTATAAATGATCAGGCTAAAGAAGTGAATGTAAGTATTTTTGAAATTTTATTAATTTTTTAAATAATTTGCGATGCTCTTATATTAATTCAATAAAATATTATAGGAGGAATTTGTTTCACGTCGTGAGGAGCTAATTGATATTGGTGAGGAAGTGGATGATGATGAGCTGTTCTATGATGTTGTTGGTGGACCTGACTCAAAGAACAGATTGTATGGAGTTGGCTCATATGGTACACAAAATATTCATAGTAAAGCTTCAGAGTATTCTTCTGAAATGGACACTTCATCATCACAATCTACTAGTGCTGAAGTTAATCATTTGAAAGCTGAGGTGGAACGTTTGCAAAAAACTGTGGAACAACAGAAGGAATTTCAACAACAAGCGGAACAAAAGCAACAGAAAACGGATGATGTCATCCGTGCTTTACAAGAACAAATTGAAACTTTAGTTCGTAATAGATAGAGTTCTTTTTAAGATGATAGTCGGTTTTAATTAGTTATTTGATTAGTAGTATTCTTAAAGACGTATTCATTATTTGAGACATTACTATTGTTACTAGAAGGTCAAAGAGCCTATTCTTTATAGTTTAGAAATTTTTTTATTATTTGAGACAATATTAATGATATTCATTGTTGTTATGACATAGTTGTACTGTTGTATGGTTTAAGAATATTAATTTATGTTGCCCGCAAAAAATGTATGTTGTGATTGTTTTTACAAAATATGTGCAATAGAAATTTGCAATGACCATTTATTGCAATTCGGTCATTAACATTGCAACAAAAGTTCATTTCATTGCACTTTTGCAACGAAAAACGCAACGCAAAATAAACTTAACTATTGTTAAACCCATTGCAACTTTGCAACGTAACTTGCAACAAGGTATATGATTTGTTGCAAACAATGCAATTGAAATTGCAACTAAAATAAGATTGTTGCAAAGAAAACGCAACGGAAATACATGTGTTGCTTTTATCGTTGCATATAATTGCAACGGATTGAATCAGCGTTGCAAATAATTGCAACGACGTGTATAGCAACCGAATTTTGTCCATTGCATTTGTTGTTGCAAAACACAAATTGCAACGGAAATTGAACATTTTGCAATGGAAATGTGCATTGCAATCTAGCATTTTTCTTGTAGTGTATTAACAATTACAAGAGGGGGAAAATCAGATAAAATTATTAAGAATAAATTAAGTGACTAATTATATCATCTTAATAAAAAAGGTGACTAGTTAGAGACTGGACTAGAAGACGCAAACTAAGTAGGAGCGTCATCAATCTTGAGGTAAGTTTCTCTGCCTATCCAAAATTTGTTTCCTCATATTATATGCTTATTATGCATTATGTGATTAAGTGTGAATTTTGAATTATGTGTATGTGATTTTGAGGAGATATTATATATATGGTAGTTGAGAAATATAAATTAAGTACTTTTTGGGGTATTAAATATTTTAAATACCTTCGAGACTTTTTTTTTAGAGAAATTAAGAAGTATTTTTGAAGTATTGCTAAGCGAAGATAAAATTTACATTTTCATAAGAAGTGAGCATCTCGGGAGTAATCCGAGGTGTCGGTTTTCCACATCCGGATAAATGTGGAGGGTGATTAGAGCTACTACTACTAAGAAGTACAGTTTAAGTTTCAAGTGAGATTTGGATCTATGATCCCTTTTAAGTAAGATTTGGATCTATGATCCCTTTTAAGTAAGATTTGGATCAATGATCCCTTTTAAGAAGAAGTTATAGTAGTAGTCCCTAATCATTAAAGAATTTTAGAATTGGGGTGGTTGGGTTCCGACCACTCGGGATGACTTACTACTCGGAGGGCTTGGAATCCCTTTTAGGGGGTGTGCACACTTAAGGTAGTCGTTTCGTTTCCAACAGAGCAGTTGTGGTACCGGCACTTGTTCGGGGTGGCCGTCCGTAACCACGGTCCACCGGGCTCTACCGAAAGGTTAAGCACCGCCCTTCTAAATTACTAGGAAGTTAGAGAAGAAGTGATTTTTTTTTAAGTTTAAAAAGAAGAGTTACTAAGAGATTTTTCAAGAGAAGTTTCAGATTTTAGCAAAGAAGTGATTTTAAGAAAAATCAAAGAGAAAAGTATTTTGGAAGAGTGCGTCATTTTTATATGATATTATATAAAAATCTATTTTTAGTCAAACCTGATTAGGAATAAAGTTTAAGGTTTAGGATCGCGGTGAGATGGTGGGATGCCTAATTTGTTATGATTTATGTTGGACTAATTTTGATGACATAAGAATTATGCGAAATCATGTGAACTTTGATTGTTGCCTAATTAAGATAGACGTATTGGAGTTATGTTGCTCAAAAGACTTGATTAGTACTAGTGAGAAGAATTGTAGGGCACATGTGCATATTTGCTCCTATGTATGTGATTGAGTAGAAAATTGAATAGGAATACTCCTAAGAAAATTTTAGAGTTATGCTTCGGGGACGAAGCATTCTTTTAAGGGAGATAGAATGTAATACTTTAGAATTTTGTCATTGGACTTTAGTTTATGTTTCGGGACGAAACATCTTTTAAGGAGGGTAGAATGTGACACTCCGGGAAAAAAAAATTAAATAAAATAAATAGTTTATTTGTAAAATAAAATATTATAAAAGGTGAGATTTTTATTAAGTGAATCAGATAAAATTTCAACAGTTGTAACATTCTAATCAGATAAAACTTTTACATTTATGACTTTTTTTAGGCAGATAAAAATATTTCAATAAAATGAATAACATTTTTATGAGTATTACAAAAATGATGTTTTGTATAAGACGTAATAATTATGCTTATGACAAATAATTAAAAGTGACATTTTAATAAATTCTAATATTAGTACTACATAAAGAAATGTTAAATAGTTGACTTTTCAAAGCTGATGCCATGCCGATATGTGAACACCGTACTTGCATATATATAAAACTAATATAAAAATAAAATTTATACGAACTAATAATTGTACATTTATGTATAACCTAATTTAATAATATAAATAACAATAATACTGCTACGTACTCGCAGCAGTACTTCGAACACACTGCAGTACATTGATCACGGTACAAGCTTAGGAAACGTGAGATAATGTCGAAGGAGACGTATTTAACGCTCAAAGTAACCGGATAAATCATATAAGCGAAACTTTAGGATCCAATATTTTATCTACGATCTGTTCTAATACTTCTTAAGACCAAACCCTAAGCCCAGATTGATGCTTATATAAATATATACACGATACGAAACCTAAACCTAAGCATCAGCCGCGTAGTTACACAAGTTTCGGATAGGTTAATGTGCATACCAACACAAAAGCTGCTATGAGAAAGAAAAGAAAAATAGAATATAGACAGAATAGATAGAAAGAGAGAAAACGTCAGGGAGGTTTGCCGGAGTTGCCGGAGGAAGAAGAATTTGTCAAGGCTGCGTGCCGGACCGTCGCTAGAACCGGAGGAGGAAGGACGTAGTGCCGATTGCGTCCTACGCCGAAGTATAGGAACTCGTTGCCGGTAAGCTCGCTGGACTGTTTTTGACAAAAAAAACGAGAGAACTTCTACCGCTACGGCCAGCCCACAAGATTGTTTGCTGTTAACCTCAACAAGGCCCGTACGAACGAAGGAACTATGGATACGACGCAGAGAAGGAGTACGTCGTATTGCCGTAGCGCCTGAGCACGATAGCTTTGCTGCCGGTCTGTTTTTTTTTACACCGTGGGTCTGCTGCGAGGTGGCCGGGCTGGTTTATGCCGGAGCTAAGTCGTCACCGCCAAACCAAGATGCTGCTGCCGAAGTTGCTGCCACCGAACCACAAACGCCATCGCTGTGTCTTCGCCGCCTTGCCAGAGCGTCTGTCGCGGTCGGGAAAAGATTTCAGAGCCGGGCTCTGTCTTCGTTCTTGTTTTTTACTGCCGGCACCGCTAAAGAAGACGTACGTAGTATCTACACTTTTCTTTTGTTTTATTTTAAATAATTGGGCCTGGTTGTTTTAATGAGCTGCTGGGCTGGTTTATTTTTAATAAGTAATAATAGGATTAAGAATAATATTAATTGAGTTAGAATATTAGTAAAATATAAATTGACAATAATCACTTTTAGTTAAATTGTAACCTTTTAATTGGGATAATAATGTAGTTTGTTTAATGCAAAGAGGGAATTTTTAAATTGATTACCGGACTGTTTAATTTTTTTATATAAAGTATTTTGATTACCTTTTTAAAATTAAAGTGAACTGGAGCAGTTAAATTAAAATATGACTCCACTTTTAGACTAAATTAAGTTAGTGGCGATTAGTAAATTAAAGTAATTAGGTATTCGAACATCAGATTTACAATTAAAATAGCGAACACAATAAAATTTTAGATTAAGAAAAAAGGGTGATAATTAATATATTAACAATTACAAGAGGGGGAAAATCGGATAAAATTATTAAGAATAAATTAAGTGACTAATTATATCATCTTAATAAAAAAAGGTGACTAGTTAGAGACCGGACTAGAAGAGGCAAACTAAGTAGGAGCGTCATCAATCTTGAGGTAAGTTTCTCTGCCAATCCAAAATTTGTTTCCTCATATTATATGCTTATTATGCATTATGTGATTAAGTGTGAATTTTGAATTATGTGTATGTGATTTTGAGGAGATGTTATATATATGGTAGTTGAGAAATATAAATTAAGTAATTTTTGGGGTATTAAATATATTAAATACCTTCGAGACTTTTTTTTTAGAGAAATTAAGAAGTATTTTTGAAGTATTGCTAAGCGAAGATAAAATTTACATTTTCATAAGAAGTGAGCATCTCGGGAGTAATCCGAGGTGTCGGTTTTCCACATCCGGATAAATGTGGAGGGTGATTAGAGCTACTACTACTAAGAAGTACAGTTTAAGTTTCAAGTGAGATTTGGATCTATGATCCCTTTTAAGTAAGATTTGGATCTATGATACCTTTTAAGTAAGATTTGGATCTATGATCCCTTTTAAGAAAAAGTTATAGTAGTAGTCCCTAATCATTCAAGAATTTTAGAATTGGGGTGGTTGGGTTCCGACCACTCGGGATGACTTACTACTCGGAGGGCTTGGAATCCCTTTTAGGGGGGGTGCACACTTAAGGTAGTCGTTTCGTTTCCAACAGAGCAGTT